CCCACATCGGAGATAGCACTTGCCCCCCAATCTCCAACATTCACAGATGAGACAACAGTGGTCACTGGTGTGGGTGCACAAGTAACCACATCGGTGATAACACTTGTTCCCCAATCTCCAACATCCACAGACGAGACAACAGTGGCCCCTGGTGTGGCTGCACACGTACCTACAAGGAGATGACACCTGTCTCTCGGACTCCAAGCGATCTATCAGGAAAAGTCCTGAATCTAAGCATCTACGTACCAGACCACATAAACGAGGACTGTACACGTGATGAAGTCGCTAAAGGCGTATTGGAGGGCAAGATGAAATGGAAGTACGACCACCCCAGTTCCGAGGAGTACATCCACGAAGCAATTAAACAAAAACGGGTCGATTTAACATACTGCATCCACAAGACATCTGATGGGGTGATAAAAAAAATGAGGAATGGACGTACAGTGAACAAACCACGAACCCGAGGTATCCCCCCAAAACCAAATACAAGATATAATGGGCTCGCTTCGTAAGGCAGTGAAAATAATGCAACATAACGTCCTCCGCTGGAGAACTAATAAATTCAGTATGTCCAGTCAATACAACCAAGTCAACGCAGATATTATACTCATAAACTCACACGGCCAAAAGGCGGCTGAGGAACTGAAAATATTTGGTTACTTGATCCATAAATCCAATCCATCAGAGGAGCCAAATGACGGGGTGGCCATCGCCGTAAAATGTGATGTCCACCACAGAATCATAGACGACTTCACCTCTGAAACTCTCGCTGTTCAAATCAACTTGACCACAGGGCCAATCATAATAGCCACAACCTACCTCCCACCACGCAGGGATTACCTGTCTTACAGGGACTTCCACAGACTCCTATCATACCACCACCCAACCTACATCATTGGAGACATGAACGCCAGACATCCTCTACTAGATGGCAAGAGGACAACTAACAATGTTGGAAGAGGCCTCGCTGGCTTCATAACAAACAAAAAAGCCCAACTAATAGGCCCAGACTTCCCCACGTTCTACAGAAGGAACTCAGCCACTATTCCAGATATAGCAATAACAAACGGCAGATGCTTCCACAAGTATCTCTTTGAACAAGGCCCTGTAACCTCTAGCGACCACCCACCTATAATCATGACCATCTCAGCAACACCAATAACTATACCAGCTCCACCACGGAGAATCGCCAAGCAGACCGACTGGGACTTATTCAACGAAAAAGCTACAGCCGAACTTGAGGGTCAAGGGCATGACAATCCTACAGACCATAGACAGGCAGCCGGTGAACATAATAGACGAAGAAATCAACACATGGTGTGAAGCCATAGGAACAGCCTACCAGGAGGCCACGCCTCTCAAACGCAACAGAACTCTCCCACACCCACAACAGACTCCAGAACTCATAGCCCTCACAAACCAGTTCCAACTGCTACAACAGAGAGCCTAGACCCATGGTTGGGACATCCTAAGCTACAATACATACAGAAGAATCCGGGAGGAAATAAAAACAAGATCTCTGGAACAAAGCAACCTTAAATGGGCCGAAATAGTTGAACAACTCTCACATACATACAACGATCCAGGAGAGTTCTGGCGTCGAGTTAAGAGATTGAAAGGTTGCAGCCATAACGAGTCATCATATATAACTGACCACGCAGGAAGTAAAATATATGACGACCAAGACAAAGAACCCATATTCAGGGACATATGGAGGAACATCTTCCGAATCACAAATGAAGAGAATAGGGGATTCGATAGTACCCACGAGGAGCTCGTCCTTGATGAACTCCGGGGCCAGACACACCGCACTCAGCCTTCCCCTGAAATCATATGGGAGGATCTGAGAGCGGACAGCCCATTGTCCAAACCAATCACCTCGGAAGAACTCAACAGAGCCATCTCCAATACCAAAAATAAAGCCCCTGGTTATTCAGGCATCACCAAGGAGATCCTCAGCCACATAAACAACCCGGCCATGGAGAGACTAAGAACCACAATGAACGCTTGCCTGGCCTCGGGCTACTTCCCAACTAAATTCAAAGAGGCCATTATTACCCTAACACCAAAACAAGGAAAGAACCCCGCCGTCCCACTAAACTACAGACCGATCTCCCTCCTCGAAGTACCTGAAAAAATCCTAGAAAAAATCATCAATAACCGTCTGAGAAATCACCTGGAAACAACAAACAGAGTCAACTGCAGACAATTCGAGTTCAGGAAAGGGAAGTCCACCACAACAGCGATAGCCCTAGCATGCGAAAACATAGCCAGAGCCGCGGCGAGTGGTAGACAATGTAATCTAACTCTCCGGGATGTAGCGAAGGCATTTGACAAAGTCTGGTATGGCGGTCTAAAATATAAGATCCTCCAACTCGGACTTCCCACCAACATTGAAAAGTTGCTTTGCAACTTTCTGGACGGCAGAAATGCTAGACTGAGGGTAGGACAACACACAGGAGAGACCTTCCCACTCATGAGTGGAGTCCCTCAGGGAAGCGTCCTCTCCCCCACCCAATATATTATCTACACAAGTGACACCCCGCCTCCCACTAGAATAGGTAACGAAGATATTATGTATGCAGACGACATCACTCAAATAACAACACATCAAGGAAAATCGCGAGCGTTACAGGTCGACAACACCAGGCGGGAATTAGAAAGGGTAAATAATTACGAAAAACAATGGAAAATCCAAACCAGTCTCCCGAAAATCACAGTGATACCCCTATGCAGAAAGAAAACCCATCCATTAGTAACCAATAATGCCCAGATAGAATACAAAAGCAGAGGCACCCTCCTGGGCCTACATATATCCACGACAGGTTACTCCCATCATGTCCACAGCAGGAAGGAAAAAGCAAGAAGAGAGCTGAGAAAACTATACCGCTTTAAAGCGCTTCCTGAGAAAATAAAACTCTGCCTGGTGACATCATTTATCACACCGATATTAACTTACCCAGCAATTCCTCTTCATGCCATGAGCACCACTCAAATATTAAAATTACAGGTGGTCCAAAATGAAGCCCTAAGATTCATCACAGGTGAAAGATACCCCTTCACCAGAACCACAGCCGAGATACAGAGACCTGAGAATGAAACCCATCAACCAGCAGCTGCACACCCTGGCCAGCAGAATCTGGCAAAAGATAGAACGATCAGAGCAAGAACTCCTTCAAAGACTCCCACCAGATAACGACAACAACCATACATGGTTCCCAAAAAGCTACGAAATCTCAAAAGGTCCATTACCACCCCCGATCTACACGGCCAGGAAATAGACAACCTCCCCAGACCAGCATCCGCCAGTAGGGTCGGCGGAATATGAAATAAGGCCCTTAAAACACCCATAAATGGGACAGGATAGGCTGTCTAGTGCCTGTACCGGCAGACAATAACTAACCCATGACACAACCCAAACACACTATTAGCTTAGCTAGGCGGTCAGCCCGCCCTCTCTTACCTCCTCCTGAATTTCTTCAATTTCCGAACTATAACTTCCTTCCCCCACCTCTAATCTTCCTTCATTCCTCCTTTCCCTACAAAAAAAGAAAAAAAGAGGTCAGGTCTTATATGGTGGAGGTAGGCGCAGCTTAATAGTTGATCTCCGTCATGTAAGGCGGCGCTGGTTGACCTAGACTACGAGGCATACACTGGGGAATTCGCGGGGTCGGCTACTCAGCGACAAACAGCGTTTGTAGGGGAGGAATCCACTACAATATCTACACAGGATCCATGACCCCTAACAAGACCCCTGTATTCGCAACTGCTTGGTGCAGCAGTTCCTATTAACTTTTATAATTTCCATCACTAGGCGGTTGATGTTGTAGTGGACGTCTCCCCTACAACTGCCTACAACTGCGTAGCCACAGCCACCACCTGCTACCGCCTTCCCTAGCAACCAACCAGATGTTACCGTATCTTAGCAACGGAACCAGTCACCAGCGACTTCTCGGGTTTTCCCAACATGACTCATAGCGGCTGCTGCTGGGTATATAAGCTCTGTCTCTCCATTGAGATTCATTCTGACCATTCTTCTTGAACAAGCAACACCTCCTCCTCCGCCGCTGCCTGGCAGCCCTCGCTTCTCCTCGCCTGCCTGGCGGTCCTCGCTCCCGCCAGCGAGCATGGCGACCCACCAGCTGTCCTTCTCTGAGCTTCCTCACCAACCAACTCTCATTCGGCCCATCTTCCTGAACACGCAACATATCCTCCCAGCAAGCTCCTAGCTGTCCAGCATTCATTCAACCAGGAGGCCAGCAACAGGCAACATCTTCTCTAACGAAGCTCCTGCACATCTACCTCCTTCAACACACTACTCACCGAACGTCTCCACTGAGCAGCCCCTCACCACACGGCACCTCCAGCACCAGACTGTCTATCATATAACTTATATTATACAAGAAAACCACATTAGAGTTTCCTTCCATCCTGAGTGCTAGACAACATTAATATCTCGATACCCCTAAAATGTATTCAGTGTTAGTCAGGAGGTAAAGGGAGATCGGGGAACCTGTGATGTTTGGTAGGGTCGCACTGCATTACACACATCTCACGCGTGTCTGGCCTAGCAGGAATCGAACCATTGAATTGCTGGTGAGAGATACATCATACACACTTTACCTCTGTGCCACCAATACTTTTTTTTTAATAATACAAATAAGACAGGATAAATACCAATTAATACGGTATGTTTACCATTTATTCTACTTAAATCATTGTAACAGTTTTAAAAATTATATAAAACAATTTCATAGAGGAAGTACCTTAGAACAGCGATCAAACTGACAAATGATAACAATAACAAAAATTACAAAATTGGCTGGCGACTGGCGTTCCAATAATAAATAATAATAGATGTATACGTCATGGTATATAAATTAAGTATGTTGAGATGATATAAAATGTGGATTTTTTTATTTCAATTTCTATTTATTTGAAATTCTTTGTATTTTCTAAGAATTTATTTATTTTATAAGACCTAACTAGCAGGTTCAAGGTTTAAGTTGCATCGCAGCATAACTTGCATCACCAGCTGACGACGTCCATTGAGGCAAGAATATGCAGACATCAGTGTTGAGCCGAATTTCCACTGTGGCGAAGGTGAATCATAATTAAAGACGCATTTATATATTTAGGTTAACAGAATTGTATTTGTGATTATGCAGACTATTATTCCAGCTGTAACGATGAACATACGAGACATAATTGGGATTCATTACCTTGGCCGATCCTCCTGCTGCTAACGTTTGTTGCATCGCCGGTATTTTCATTGAGCGAATTGTCATTAAAAACACAGATGATTTATGTAATTAATGACCTTATTGTATTCACGCAATTAATTAGTTTTAAAGAGTAGTAACGAAAAATGTTTGTAAAACCCCCAAGCGAGACGATCATGTAACTGGGGATTGCGGCCTAACATGTTTATGACCAACATGGGAAGTTATTCCGCTAAAACACGTACTAGTAATTTTGGTGTAAACCTTACTTTTGGTAAATTTGCATTCACATCGTTCACTTTTAGCAAGTAAAAAATATATTTTTCTAGTGTATTTGTGTGTTTAGACCGAATATGACCTTAATTTTTGGCGGAAATTAGCCGGGGTTTTTTTTAGCGATTTTTTTTTCGTTTGACGTTTTCCGGAAAAAAAGTGGCTTAGCGACTAAAAAAATACCCACCCCCCCAAAAAAAAACTAGTAAAACAAAAACCAAACCAAACCTAACCTAACATAACTTAACTGACTCTCACCAGATGATGAAATCACCTATTTCTTACCTTATCGGCCTGGTTCTTGTTCGTCGTTGCATTATGGGATTCTTACCCAACGCCACATACGTTGGTCTTTGCGATATTTACATTGTCTTGCTCGCAATCAGCTCCATATACTTCAAGTGACATCCATCGCAGACTTCCATGGTCGGAACTGAACTGGAATTTCAAAATATGAGACCCAAAATAAAACTCGAATTTGATTGGGCCCAATATACTCCGAATTAAACCCCAAATCATTTTAATTGGTTCCAAAGGCAAAAATGCTTTTGATTGGCCGCGTGACGTGTACAGGAACGCATGCGCTTGATGATTTATGAAGGAGACACGCGTGTTGGGAGAGAGGCAGACGATAATGGTGGGAGGTTAATAGAAGAAAATTTAAATTTTTTTTGAAAAGCTATCCCCGTTATTATACATTTCCGCCAGTAATGTAATAGATGAAAATTATCTTAAAATTAGACGTCTTATTCGAATATGATAATAGATTAGTGGTAGGAATGAATGGTGTGTAAACACAATAATACCTTATTTTTTAATAGTAGTGTCGATAAAGATTCGGTTGACTAGATACACAGGAATCACCAACAAAGGTAAAGGTGTAGATAACGGCTACCACCAGAAGGAATTGTCCGAATTAGTTGCAATTTTTTTATACTAATATGATATTAACACAAATCCGACCTAACAATCGTAAATGTGCATATTACACCAACCATGAAATTTGAAGAAAAAAGTGGTTATCTGATGGACTTTGATGTGATTAGTTCAAATTTAACATTCGTTTTTGTCGGAAATTACTTGTTTGTGATTTAGCTCCCCCTCACATAATTGTTCTATCGATTGCATTTTTTGAATTCCCGGTACTCTGTGCTTGCTAACTTATACCATATAACCAAACTAAACCTTACCTAACAACGGAGCCCCCTGACCCCAGTGATCCCTAGCTGGGGGCTTTGCCCCCGGACCCCAAAGCGCTATGTAATACCCCTAAAGTTGCGTGATCAGCCTCCACAAAAATATAAATAGCTGTTAAGAGTATTTCTTACCTTACTCCGAGTCAGGGTCAGAGTCTGAGTCAGGGACCACAATATGTCGTGGGTTCCTCTGTTCTCTAAAGTTTCCTTATTTTTAGAATGAAATCATACAACAAACTTCCAATAATCGAAATCGCACCCGGCACGTTATGGCTCCCATGTAGCAACTGATTAAAAATGTCTCGTCTTAGCACCCACTCGAAATTTTCAACCCTAATTGGTTGAATCAAAAGTTGAGATTTTTTATTGGATTTGATTGGCTGCCGCCCCGCCCTAGATTTGATTGGCGGCCAGCCCCCGGCACATTCCTGGGAGGTAAGTGAAAGTACGTACACACAATTTGAGCAACAACGTAGGGCTAACGGGTGATCTGATTTTAATTTTTTTTTAAATTCAATAACTTCCTTATTATCAATTTGTGACGAAAGTGTAATATAAGAAAACGATCCTAGAAAAACTAGTTCTATTGATTGAGTGTAGTGAATTCTTGAATTCTGTGTTTGTTGTAAACTGCACAATTACCACATCCATAGGTTTAGCATGTTAGGTCAGGTTCTATTAGGTTCTATGCATTATCGTGTTAATTTAGGTGTTGAACAACTTACTTTAATATTGAGGTTGATATACATCAGCAATGGCGAGGAGGAATTTGTGGAAGCGTTCACCATCATATATAGGAAATGTCTCTTGAAGAGGGATTCATCGAGGTAAACAATAAAAATAGCGCCGGGAGGAGAATTGTGAAGCGAGATAGAGTAAATAAAAAAAAATACTTAAAATCATTAACCTAACCTAGCTGGGGGGGGCTCTGCAGTCATTTGGTGTTCTAGGTGTGTACTGCTACATACGAACATACATAATAAAATGCTAATTGTCTCTCATACACAATTTGCATTATAAATGTCATTGAAGAAGTGTCTTAGAATTGTCAAAATTACTGATTGCAGCTATAAAATTCACGAGATTCGTTTAGTGGCAACAAGTGAAATGATGCCGACCTACCTCCTATGCCAACGAGTTTGATTGCACAAAGTGGGCAAGGTTAATTCATAATGATAAATTGTATGTTAAAAAGGTTAATGCTGTATTAATGACTAACCCACAGACTCATTATTTGTTTTTATGTTTATTTAATAACCACAGTGTGGTACCCTGGTTACGAACTGGTTACGCTCCTGAGGATGTTCTTATGTCGGAAATGTGTGTAAGTCGGAACACATCCTGTGTGCATACTGTACTTAGAGAGCAATGTTAAACTCCCACTATATCATAGCCTCAGTCCTTATACTGTATACATCTTAGATTACTTAATTGAAGAGAAAGAAGAAATAGAATGACAAAGTATAGTAAAGGAAAATAAAAAATAAGTCATCAGGTAAATAAAGTACCCGGTACTGTAATTTTAAAGTTTTATCCCGTTCTTATAAGCGGGCCTTCGTAAGTCAGACGTTCGTAAGTCGGGGACCCCCTGTACAGTCAGTTATGCTATAACGCGATAGTTGTGTTCTTATAAAACATCGTGTTATAGAAATTCGCGTAATAGAAATAACGGCTTATAGAGAAAATAGGGTTAGGTGCAGATTATTCGAAATCGAAAAAAATTTCGTAGTTAGCCTAACACAAAGGATAGTAGTCTAAATTAATGTTACATTCATATCTAATAATGAAATCATACAGTAAATGTTACACTTTACCTTGAAAAAATATGAATATAACTTGATGGGGGAGAAGGTTGATGTTGAGGAGTCATGCAGACAGGATTTGACAGTTGTCATCGTCATCATCAGTATCATCATCAGGTGCAGTTTTGGTTGCATGGGAGGGAAGAAAAAACGTCTAATTCCAGAAGTGGATGGCTGTGGTTCAGTGTCTTAAGACTGCTTCTTGGGGGTTGACTTAAAAAAGACGTCTAATGTTTGCTGCTTTGCCGTCTTTCTTCTTTCACAAAGAAGCTGTTCATAAGGTGCCAAAAAAGATTTAACACCACGAACTGCAATCCTGCTCCTTTCTGCATTGTAGTCATTGTCTTCCAAGATCTGCAACTGCTTATCGACTTCCCTCAGGATAGAAGACAAAACAGAAGTGGGAAGCTCTCGTGGTTTTGCATCCTGGACTTCTTCATCTTCGGCACCTTCTATTTCCCCAGCAGCAACAAGTTGTTGTAGATCTTCTGTAGAGAGGTCTTCACAGTGGGACTCGAGCAGTTCCTCAACATCAGCGCCTTCCACTTCAGCAAAGCCAACTTGCTTTGCAAGAGAAACACAATTTTCTTTAATTTTTGGGAGCTCCTCTGATGCATCAAAGCCTGTAAAATCATGAATTAAATCTGGGAGAAGCTTCCGCCAAACTACACTCAAGCAGTCCTTACTTACTTCACCCCAGGCCTCCACAATGATGTCAATTGCATGCTTGATGTTGAAATTTTTCCAAAACTGAAGAACACTGGCCTTATCATTTCCTTCCTCAGTAGCTGCAATAAGTTTCTTAAATGTACGCCTCAAATAATAGGCTTTGAAGGCTGCTATTACTCCTTGGTCCATTGGTTGAAGGAGAGATGTTGTATTTGGAGGTAGAAAGAGCACTTTGATATTGTCAGAAAGCTCAGCAATGGTGGGAGGGTGGCTTGGCGCATTATCTAAAATGAGGAGAATCTTAAAATCTATATTATTCTTGCAATATTTTTTGAAAACATTTTCAAAAACATCCACAAGAAGGTCAGAAAAAATTTGTCCCGTCATCCAACCTTTTTTGCTTGACCTAAAGTGAATACCTAGAGTAGACTTTATGTAACCCTTTAAAGCTCGCCGGTTGACAGAGTGATACACCAACACAGGCTTAAGCTTTTAAGTCTCCACTAGCATTTGCACCCAACAACACTGTCACACGGTCCTTTGCAGCCTTAAAGCCTGGAGCATGTGCTTCATTCTTGGAAATGTAAGTTCTTGTTGGCATGCACTTCCAGTATAAACCTGTTTCATCCAAATTAAAAATTTGGTCTAAGGTGTAGCCTTCTTCCTGAATCATTTCTTTACAGTGGGAGGAAATGCCCGGGCACTTGCTTCGTCGGCACTTGCTGCTTCACCACATAACTTTACATTATGAAACGCATAGCGGTTCTTAAAACCAGAAAACCATCCACTACTAGCACTAAAGGCAACCACATGAGCAGGATTTTCAGCTTTTTTCTTTAGGTCCTCATATATTGATAAGGCTTTCTCTTTAATGTTGAGGAAGCTGGTTCCAGATCGCTTTTTTGTTTGATCTTCTATCCAAACACTTAGAAGCCATTCCA